GGGAGTAGGTGCCCTGTCCAGGGAGGTTGGGTGCCCTGTCCAGGGGGTGAGTGCCCTGTCCAAGGGGTGAGTGCTTTGTCAAGTGGTGAGTGCCCTGTCCAGGGGGGTTGGGTGCCCTGTCCAGGGGGGAGTAGGTGCCCTGTCCAGGGGTGAGTGCCCTGTCCAAGGGGTGATGCTTTGTCAAGTGGGTGAGTGCCCTGTCCAGGGTCGGCTCTACTGTCCAATGAGTGAGGGCACTGACCACAGTCTCCCAAGAAATAAGAGACGAAATACATTATTGGGTGCATTGCTGATGCCATGTTAAATACTTGCTCATCTTTAGGCCAGGATCGGAGAAAGGAATAGAAGGTTATGCAGATAGAGTCGGACAATTTGTGCTGGGAGAATATTTCCGTGGATTACAAGCACTGTATAGGTTTATTGGACCAAATGGCCTGTTTTTACACTTTACTTATTGTGCTGTGAGTGTATAATGTCACTGCTCCCCTTAGCCAAGCTATAAAACATAGAATTCCTACTGCGTGGAAAGAGGCCATTCAGCCCATTAAGTCTGCACCAACCCTCTGAACAGCATACTACCCAGACCCAGCCCCTACCCAATTCCCGTAACCCTGCATTTCCCATGGCTAACCCACCTAGGCTACACATCCCTGGACACTATGGGCTATCTAGCATGGCTTATTCACCTAACCTGTGCATCTTTGGACCGTGGGATGAAACCGGAGCACCCAGAGGAAACCCACGCAGACACGGGGAGAACATGCAAACTCCACACAGACAGTCGCCCAAGGTCCCTGGTGCTGTGAAGCAGCAGTGCTATCTACTGAGCCACGATGCTGCCTGTGTTCATGTTTAAAGTTTGTGTAAATACAGTGCCATGTCAGTTTGTGAAAGCCTGAAGCTTCAAATAGTGTGTCACTCAGCAGGATAGTGTATAAGAAATATTTTTATGGTTACTTTTTGTTGCAGCCACTGGAAATTTCTTCAAACATAAAAAGTCATCAGCTTCTTTGAGCTCTAAGTAAAGTCGCCATAGTCCTGCTCTCTCTTTATAAAGAGAGAGATGACTGGTGATGGTTTAACTTGAGGGTCACTATGCCTCAGGCAAGAGGAGAGATTGAGAAGGATGGTCCTTCATGGTATCCTCAGCTGGTGCAGGAATTGAACCCACACTATTGGTGTTATTCTATAGAGCAAACCAGCCATCGAACCAATTGACACCCAAATATACTTTGAGCTACACTGGTAATAGGACAAAAAAAAGCGCAGTTGTTGGCTTGTACTTTGGGTTTGTCTGTAACTCATTGCAACAAACTTTCTTTATGTTACAGAGAGATGTCTTCCATTCAGTTCCTCACAAGGCCTCCCTTGCCTCGTTTGGCTTATCACAGAATTTTAGCACGGAACCCTGGAGTTGTGTTCCTGCCGGGATTCAAGTCCAACATGAATGCAGTGAAGGCATTAGCCCTGGAGGACTTCTGTCGTTCAGCGGGGCATTCCTTTATCAGGTACCATCTCAAAGTTTGTAAACACAATGACATTAAACAAAACGCACAACTAGGAATGGGGTTCTGGATAGGGCAGTGACAGGAAAAAAAGAGCAGCCATTAAAGTGGCAGTCCCGAACCAGAGGTCACAGTCTAAGGATACAGGGTAGGCCATTTAGGACTGAGATGAGGAGAAATTTCTTCAACCAGAGAGGGGAATTCTCTGCCACAGAAAGCAGTCGAGTCCAAAACCCTGAATGTTTTCAACAAGGAGTTGGATGTAATTCTTGGGGTTAAAGGGATCAAGGGAGAAAGCAGGAAGAGGGTGCTGAGTTGGATGATTAGCCTTGATCATGTTGAATGGTGGAGCAGGCTTCTATTTTTCTATGTTTTGTGTTTTAGATATTATGTTGGCTCAAAAAGCTTTTGTGTAATGTACGAAAGTGCAAAAAAACATACGGGGTAGGAAAAGAACAGCTGTACCTCAAGCCTGCCCACACTCAGGACAGTGACAGCATCAGAACATCAGACTTAGCTGCAGGAATAGGCTATTCGGCCCTTTTGAACCTTTTCCACCATTCACTAAGACCTGGTCGTGGTCTGAACTCCACCTTCCTGTCCATCCATTCCATAGACCATGACTTCCTTGCCTATCAACATTCTATTTAATTCTGCCTTAAATAAATTCAAGGACATAGCCGCCTGGGGAAGAAAATTTCCATAGAATGTTGGCAATCACTTGCTAACGAGTATGATTATCTACCAGGGAAACACTGTGACACTGGCGATGGGTTCTGTGGGTCCTTGCATAGCTGATGAGCCCAATCCTAGAGCCCCGTCTCCAACCACACATTTGGGAACTGTTTCTGGGAGATGGAATTGGTTCTTGGCCTTGAGATCATTGGCAATTCTTTCTCTGGTTTCTTTTCTGTCCTTCCTCTTCGTGTTCTCAAAGAATTGTGTCCCTTCATACAAGAGCTTCCTCCACATTGGTTTATTCCGAATGAGGGTCTCCCATGTGTTGAAATATATGTTGCATTTTTTGAGGGAAGCCTTCACGGACCCTCTGAAAAGCTTCCTATGTCCTCCTGTCGTTCGAGTGCCTTCCTTGAGCTGGGTGAAGAGGATTTGCTTTGGCAGTCGGAACTCCGGCATCCTATACACAAGGCTGATGATATTGGCTGCTTCAAGGACACTGACGTTAGAATTCCTGACCCCTCAGCTGATGTGAGAATCCATCTTAAACAATTTTGGTGGAACCTCTCAAGGGCTTTCAGGTGGTGTCTATATGTGCTCTAAGTTTCAGAGCTACATTGAAGGGTCAGACGGACAGACCCTTTAAAAAGGATCTTGGTATCAGCATAAATGTCACAGTTGAGCAAAGACTCTCATCATTGAATGCCCAAAGGCAGTGCTGAAAGATTGGATGTGGTGTTGAATTTTGCATCAATGTCAGCCTTAGGTGAGAGGTAGCTTCCCAGCTAAAGGAAATATTCCACATTTAGGAAGATTTCACCATTGATGGAGGGATGGACCAGAACTTTGATTTTGATTTTGATTATATTGTCAAGTGTATTTTACAGTAAGAATACAATAAACTAGAGTGAAAAGCTTTCATTTGTCACCTCGGGATGGCACCATTTTGAATAATTTAAGAATAAGCACTAAAAGAGAAAGGAATTGGCTCATCACCATCAATGACGCCTGTACTGTCGTCCTTCCTCCACCACTTCGCTACCGTCTACACCGCCACTGGACCCAACCAACATTGAAGTTGCTGATCTTCAGGGACCATCTTTGCACTGGGCCAATGTTCCCCCACCACCACCTCACTGCTGTCTGTGCCAGACCAACCAATGTCAGAGTCACTTCTCTCGCTGCTGGGCCCACCTCATCAATGCTGCCATGATGCCTTTCTGCCACTGCTTCATTGCCACCAGTGCCAACAACTTAGTTGTCGACCTTCAAGTGCCATCTTTTGCCGCTGGGCCTACCTCGCTGATGTCACCTCTGCCAATGTAGCAGCCGCTGATTCCAGGAGCTGTGCTTGCTCCAGAAGAATAAGTAAGGGCTCAATCTCCTCTGCACTGGGTCTGGTCGAGGTCTGTGCCCTGGGCCTGGCTTAAGACTGCTCGAGGACCATGCACTGAGCTCTCGTCGCCACCGATGTTGTCCAATGTAAGTAAGTTTTAAAAAAAAAAGAGATGGGGAAAAAAAAAAGAAAAAACTGCTGTGGCACAGGAACCCTACTGTGCTGCCATCTTGGACCTTGACCTTGACCTGGGTCAGGTTTGGTAAAAGATTTAAGTCTTCTTGAGGTTGAAGCTCAGACCAATTCTTCGATCTACTTTCACGTAGGCATTGTGTGAGGCTTGATGATTCTCTTCCGAGAGCGTGGAGATGACTTTGCCATCCACGTACTGAAGTCCCACAGCAAGGTCAATGTTATTTTCCTCTTGGATTTTAACTGGTTTAGAATGAAAACTTTCCAGTTTGTCCATCCTGTAGACAACATCCACACCATTGGGAATCTTCACCTTGACGTGATGATGAAGGTGGGGAGTAGTACACTGACGGCAGAAATAATCTCTTCATCTCTGTCTTAAAAGTTATATGACTCCGTCCCCTAGTTCTTATTTCCCTGAAAAGAGGAAACATCCTCCCAGTGTTCAGCCTCCTCAGGATCATTGTTTGTTACAAAAATAAAATAATCTTAACTCCAATGGATACAGACACCCTGCCCGCACCCCCCCAACATTTTTCCACATTGTGTAACCCCCTTATCTCAGGTATGAGTTCAGTTAGCCTTCTGTGCACTGTTTCTATTGCAATTATGTCCTTTTCCAAATACATTGCAACCTTCACAGCTATATAATCTCTCGAAGGAGCAGGAAATCCAGTCGAAAAACCCAGGCCCAATTAGAGATTTTTAAAAATTCCCCTCTGACTTGATCAGGTGGATTTATTTGATGGGCTGAATGGCCTTGTTTCTTTGTTCATGGGATCGGCATCAAGACTGTTGAAGAGAGTGGTTTGCTAGGCCATTTCAGAGGGCAATTAAGAATCAACCCTATTGTTGTGGGTCTGGAGTCAATGCAAATCAAACTAGGTAAGGATGGCAGATTTCCTATCTTCCTAAAGGGCATTAGTGAACTAGATGGTTTTTTTTTTAACAGTGGTTGGTTTCATGATCACTGTTAGCATTTCTTAAAAAAAAAAGCACCTTTTTATTAAATTCAAACTTCAGGTTAGTGCAGTGTGAACCCATGTCCCCTAGACAGTCATCTGGAACTGTGGGTTACCACCAAGTCACTGCCCACTCTCAATGTGTACTTAATTTACAATGAACAGGTTAGAATTATAAACAAATTTTTATTGGGATTATCCCCATCCCCTTAGGATGTAAACTGGCATCATTGCATAATTAATGTTGGTACAGTTTTTACCTGTCTCACAGGGCCAAGCACTTGGGTTCAATTCCAGATTTGGGTGACTGCCTGTGTGGAGTTTGCATATTCTCCCTACGTCTGCATGGGGCTCTGGTTTCCTCCCACAGTCCAAAGATGTGCAGATTAGGCAGGTTGGCCGTGCTAAATTGCATCATGGTGTGCAGGCTTAGGTGGATTAACCATGGTAAATGTGGGCTTAGGGGTGGAATGCTCTTCAGAGGGTCGGTACAGACTTGATGGGCCAAATTGCCTTTGTCTGCACTGTAGGGATTCTATGCTGTTTTATATGACCTACTGGATCTTGAGTTGCACTATGAGTTCACCGAAACTTTAAATCATTTTCTCATTTAGGTGAATTTTTTTGCAGTCTTTCAGATAAAACTGATCAGACTGTTGGACCCAATCTCCCCACCGATGATGGATTCACCCACACAGCAGTGTGCAATTTGGTGAGACCCCAGCATGGTTCGAGTGATTTCTGTCCATGCTGTACTTCTGTACCTGGGGTTGTGAGGTGGGAAAGGAGGTCACGGAGATAAACTGATAACGACACGTTTCCAGATATTTAATAGTTAGAAACATAAAGGAGGAGGGAAATAAATGGCTTGACATAGTCTAGGACGATAAAATCATTGGTGCATTTGATTGTGTCCTATCTGCTTGCTAAACGGAAGCATTGACATTTGGGTGTTCTTCCAGCCAACTAACTTAGCTAATTAAAATAGCCACTTCTGTAAATAAGCAAGGAGAGGAACTGACAGTTCACATAATATCCTGTTGACTTGCACTGCAAATTTTATTTTTTATTCCTATTTATAACAATTGCTGGCAATCAATTCAGCTGCTTTATATTCATTGCTTACAGTGTTTGGTCACTGGACTAAAATCTGCTATCTGTTGTTAAAGTCTTTCAGGACACACACTTGCTCTATAAACAATCCCGATTAATGTGTCAACTTTTAAAATGTAATTTACCCTCAATAGACTTAATATCAGGCATTTCTTAATATCTTACTTGGTTCCTTTTCGTTAAGGTCTTTCTGATATGATTCACTGCACAACGTGTGGGAACCTCCCCACAAAACGTTCAACAATTTTGAGATGCCGAACCTGTTGTTGGTATCCATTTGCCTGATTTCCTATTCTACTGGCAGTGGCATGATGAAATGAGTGAAATTGCATTTATATAGCACCATTCACAGATTCTGGACACTTCAAAGTGCTTCAGAGCCAAAAAAGTATTTTGGAGGTATTATCACGATAGTCATGTAGCCAAGGTTCCTTCAACAGCATTTTCTAAACTTAGCACCACCCAGAAATATAAGGGCAGGAGATGTATGGATAATTACCACCTATTACTTCCTCTTCACATCAAACACCATCCTGACATGGAACTATTTAACTATTCCTTTACTGTCACTGGGTGAAAATCCTGTAAGCCACTTCCCTAACAACACTGTGGGTGTTCCGACATCTTATGGACTACAGTGGTTCAGAAAATCCTACAGTGTGGAAGCAGGCCATTCAGCCCATACCAACCCTCAAAAGAGCATCCCATCCAGACCCACCCAATCTCTGTAACCCTGAATTTTCTGTGGCTAATCCATGTAGCCTGCACATCCTATGGCCAGTCCACCTAACCTGCACATCTTCGGACTGCGGGAGGAAACCGGAGTACCCAGAGGAAACCCATGCAAACATGGTGAGAATGTGCAAACTCCATACAGACAGTCGTCTGATGGTGGAATCGAACCTGGGTTGCTGGTGCTGTGAGGCAGCGGTGCTAACCACTGAGCTACCATGCCACCCTCACTGTGCCAGGTTCCGAATCTGAACAATTAATACTGTCCTTGCCAATGATCACACCTGGCGTAATTGTGCGCATTGCGAGATTCTGCAAAGAACAATGAAATAATCTGCTTGCAATACTATTGGTGGAGGGACAAATGTTGGTGAAGGAGAGCTCCTGGATCTTCTCTGAGGAACACCATTAGATCACTTAAGAACACCATTAGGTCCTTTCCATCTATCTAAGTTAGGGTATCTGATCAGTTTTAATATCACATCCAAAGACAGAACTTCCAACAGTATGGCCTTGAATATCAGCTGAGCTTAGGTGGTTATAACATTGCAATAGGGCTCAAACCTACAACCTTCCCAACCCAGAAATGAAAGTGTTGCCACTGTATGAAGGCTAACATTCTGTTTCACAGAAGATGGGTGCTTAGGTGGTTAGGAAGCGTGGTTAAGGCTATAACATTTCATTTTTAAATATCATCATGTATTTGGTAGCTGGAATATCATTAACCCTGATCAAGGGTTACTAGGTTTATACCACACCCTATGTCTAGATCTATGGGATTATTACAGTACCAAATATTTCACAGGAGGAATGCATTTTGAATTGCATTTGCAGTGTTCAAAGTTTGCCAAAGAAATCTGAGCCTCAACTTGTGTGTGAGAGTGCACAACATCATTTAAATCCGAACTTGTGCTGGCAAAGGGTGGAGAGACTGATTTATGCACTACCTGACTGATCAATCTTTATGGTTCATCTTTCAAATTCTTTCTGAAAGGGCTTGAAGAGAATGACATCCCTGTCTTTGAGGAAAAGTTATGAGTCTTTTTCTTTCTCTCCATGATTTCTAACATACTTGTACCTGAAAGATAGAGGCCAAACTCTCCCATCTCACCTGCTACACCTTGGCATGGTCAGACCCCAGTTATCGGAACATCTGGCCCCGGAATGTGCATTTTGGAGGGAGGACAAGCTTGCTAATTACAGAGAGAAATATGCCCCACTGGTTATGTTCTTGTGACAGGAATTTCACCCTCTTTGTACATGAGCTCCAGCCAAAGTTGATACTATCAACATATGTAATGTGTGTATGGTTTCAAAAGAAAACTTAAGTTTTGTTTAAATGGCATCCGCAAACGTTTATTAAAACCAGACTCCTCTACATCTGTTTGTTTCCTTTTGTAAGCTGTGTGCTTTGCTACAGTTTCCATGGAAACAAATATCTGTCTGCTTGGTAATAATGCAAAACCCTTTCCTCGTTGTGTACTGAACTCCAGAGTAAAATTGAATGGTAAAACTTGACAGAATTAACAGTTTGAGGACCCTCACAACCTAAAGAAATCAATTCTGTGCAAAGTGCTAGAATTTCAGAACCGTCAGATACAGGTTTGTGCATGGCATGTTTCCAAATTTAACATAGGGGGGGGGGGGGGGGGGCACTAGTGATTAGCCACCTTCCCTAGCAAAGGGAGGCAAGATCAGATGGTAAATCGTCAGCTGCTCTCTTGCTCCTCTCAGTGGCCAGTTTTGGAGAGTGTTGGAATTCCTTTTTGTTTCTGGCTGCCTCACTGCTCACATGACTTATCAGGCCACGCTAAACCCATTACAAACAGTAACATTTTCTGAAGAAGGGTCTAGGCCTGAAATGTCAGCTTCCCTGCTCCTCTGATGCTGCTTGGCCTGCTGTGTTCATCCAGCTCTACACCTTGTTACCCTGTTACAGACAGTAATCTCTAACGATTTGCTTTTTGCCAAGCAGAATAAATGTGGCCTGGGTCTAACAAATAACACTGATTACAAAGATTCTCACAACCTGTCTTGCTTCTTGGCAAACCTGACAAATTAAAGGAGAATTTCTGAACTCAAAAAGAACTTCGTATTTGATACCCTTAGTTCCTTTTTGGATAAATGACCATCAGTTAAACACGTCTAAAGTAACAGTATGTTTTCATATGCAGTAATGATACTGATTTCTGTACTATTTTCTTAGGTTTGTGCTATATGTTATGAAGGTGTTCATAATGAACGGGTGAACACACGGTCTGGAATTTTAGCTAGTTGAACACTTCACTGTCTGCAAATTCTGGGAATGAAAGCACTGACTGCTTACAATAATTTAAAGGGTGTAATTTAGAAAACAAATAGATGAAAGAGTTCTGTGCCTCTAAAGCATAAGTGTCTCTGAACAGCCATTTTGGATTTAAATAAAATTGTTGAAGATGGTTTCGATCACAATTTCCAGAATTCTGAAGCACCTGAGAGAAACCCGGTGATGATTGGGTGGCACAGTGGCTCAGCAGTTCGCACTGCTGTCTGGTAGCACCAGGGATCCAGGTTCGGTTCCTGCCATGGCCAACTGTCTGTGTGGAGATTATACATTCTCCCTGTGTCTGAGTGGGTTTCCACTGGATGCTCTGGTTTCCTCCCACAGTCCAAAGATGAGCAGGATTGATGGATTGGCCGTGCTAAACTGTCCATGGATGTGCAGCGTAGGAGGATTAGCCATGGGGAATGCAGGGGGGTCTGGGTGTGATGCTCTTTGGAGGGGTGATGTGAACTCGATGGGCTGAATAGCCAGCTTCCACACTGTAGGGATTCAATGATTTAAGAACGCAGTGATGTAAATGAATATTTAAGGCAGGAGATTCTTATGTCCTTTGATCTCCTGAGCTGATTTTGTGGCGGGTGGGAGAAATGCCTTTTATCTATCTACCTAAGATTAAAAACAATTTTACAATGGTCTTGCCAAGAGGCCAGAGAAGCAGGCTTTTGGTCTGTCCAGCGTTGTCCCCTGAGGAAGATCAAAGACAGTGCTGGAACTATGGTTCAGCACCTTACGTCCCTACACTGGAACTCCAAGATTGTGCTGCCATAGAACTGTTTGGCCACCCACAGCATGTAGCCTTAATATAATTCCAGATCTGATAAATTCGACTCACTAACCACTTTAGCGTAGCAACTTGCATGGTTTACTGAGGCAAAATTAATCCTTGTCAGTTAAAATGTTGAATTTCCATGATACAGACCATGTTCGTGTCAAATTTTATCTAAGATGTGAATTTAGTTTGATTTTTTTTTGTAAAATCAGACAGTCTTTCATCTGAGCTAGCGTGTGCTGATTCCTGCAGGTTTGATTACATGGGCTCTGGCAGCTCCGAAGGTAATTTTGAGGATTGCACATTAGGAGATTGGAAGAACGACGTGCTGACGGTCTTGCATACTCTCACCACGGGACCTCAGGTAAATACTCTAACCCATGTGTTTAGTCTGATACTGTTATCATTCTTTTAACAAGTTGGGCCCAACTTCTTTTTCTCCACATTTAATTGTGAATCAGCAACCATTTGTTTATGCTTCCCCACCCTTTCCCTAATCTCATTCACGGTAGGCTTTAGCAGAGTACTGCTAACTCTCCAGTACCCTTTCAAAGATGAATAGTGAATGTTAGTGGCTAGTGGCAGTGATAAGGTTCTCATCCCATGTGCTCAAACGACTCCAGAGCCTCTCCCCCTCCCTACATCCATCCTCCGCTGACCCTCAGAGAGCTTTGTGTTCCCCAGATTCTAGTGCGCCTCTGATTTCTTTCACTGTACGTTGGCAGCGTCCCTTCATCCATTTAAGACCTAAACTCTCACAGTTCCCTTCCTAAGCCTTGCCACCTCTCTACCCTTTCTTCCTCTTTTAAGGTACTCCTTAAGACCTATTTCTTTGACCAAGCTCTTGATCTTAATAAGTTTCCCTGGTTTAGTGTTAAATGGTTGTCTGGTTGTGTTCCTGTGAAGTGACTTGGGATGTCATACTCTATTAAAGGTGCTATATAAATGTAGGCCTTTTTTGGTGCTGTAGCAGCTCCACAGGTACCTCCATTGGAATCAGGTGACTCATCTATTTTTTGTTGTTGTTGTTGTTCTCAACTAAAATGGAAAAAGGACTGTTTTCAGCCAAACACTGAATGGGTGTACTTTAAATTTGTGAGTTGTGTTTACATTTTTAAAAATTCATTCACGGGGCATGGGTCTCTCTGGCAGGACCAGCATTTATTGTCCATCTCCAGTTGCCTTTTGGACTGTGGTGAGCCACCTTCTTGAACCATGCAGTCCGCTTGGTAACGGTACCCCCATGTGTTGTTGGGGAGGGAGTTCCAGGATTTTGACCCAGTTGACACTGAAGGTACAGCGATACGTTTCCAAGTCAGGATGGTGTGTGGCTTGGAAGGGAACTTGCAGCTAGTGGTATTCCCATGTATTGCTGCTTTTGTCCTTCTTGATGGAAGTGGTTGTGTGTTTAGAAGGTGTTGTCTAAGGAGCCTTGATGAATTTCTGTTGCTTTACAAATGGTTTTGGATGGGGGACACCATGGCACAGCGGAAAGTAAGAACTACAGCTTAGGGTGGCATTGATAAATAGAACACTAGATTGCCAACACACTCTGTGTCAGCTCATGGGTTTCTGAATGATGCCCATAATTCCCCACAGAGGGCAGTTAATGTCGATAAGCAACCAAATGCCTTTTATTCACAAGGGATTCTCTGCAACCTTTGGTAGGTGTGCGCGTGGGATTCAGGTGGCAACAGAGTGCTGATTGGTTTGTACAATTGTTACCAGTCGTGGATGCCAGATGTTACCAGTTTGATGATGGCACTCTGGCTCCTAGACAAGTTAACAATTTGGTTGTTTTTCAGAGAGGGTGGGAAACCTCTGAGTGGCTGGAAAAGCAGGTTCTGTGTCAATCTCTCCTTGGTGAAAGCACCTGAAGCCTGAAGAAAGCCAGATAGTCCTCCCTACCCGCAACTCTCCCACCCACCAGTTGCTGTAAGCTATTACCTTTTACCAATAGTCGGGTACCAATTGCCCTATAACCTTTGTTAGAAGTGGAAGAAGCCAGAGAAAGGAGATCAAAGAACTGGAGCTCTCAAGAAGCAAAAAGAACAACTAATCAAACCCTGCGGACACTTCATATTGAATGGTGTTTCCCTAGTCTTTTTCTTTCTGCTTCAATGAAAACACGAATGTTTGTGTGTGTCTGTGTGTGTGTGAGAGTGTTTGTCTGTGTGGGGTGTGTGTAGAGTTCTATGCTGATAATTCATAGTTTACCTGTGACTGCACCTGACTTACTTGTAATAAAGAGAAACCTCGTCAGTATTTTTGGTTAACCTGGTTATGTCAAACAGGCAAACTAGGGATTTTTCATGCTTGTATTAAATCAAAATATTTATTTAAATTTAAGTAGCATTTCTGTGGTGACACTAGTAGTAGTGGGGATTGAGAATCATTGCATATTTACCAAATGGGTCATGAATCACAGCACAGTCAAAGAATTGAAATTATGATCTTCCTGCTTCACCTGAACTCCTCTATGATACAAAGTAGTGTTATTACCCACAAAGTTTCCTATTCCTTGACATTGATTGTTCATTCAAAAGTCATCTTTCATCTGGATATTCACTTCATTCTTTTTACAAAGTAAGGACTACTGCTCAGGGTGGCACTGACGAGTAGGGCAGTAAGTTATCTTCTGAGGAACCGTTCTGAGGAAGGGTCACCGGACCCAGAACGTTAACTCTGTTTTTTTTCTTCACAGATGCTGCCAGATCTGCTGAGCTTTTCCAGCAACTTTGTTTTTGTTCCTGGTATTAAGAGACATTTTTTACTTAGTGAGTTATGATTATCTAGAATGCACAATTGAAAGAAAGGTGGAAGCTAATTCACTCACAACTTCCAAAAGACCATTGGATAAATACGTGAAGTTAATAAATTTGCAGAATGGGGAAGAAAAGATGGGGACTAACTGAATAGCTCATCAAAGAGCTGACACAGGAAGATGGGCCAAATGGCTGTCTTCTGTAATGCCTCATTCTGTGGAAATTATTGAAAAATGCGTGTACATTTACAGAATCTATTGTTCTTTAAGGGATATTTCTGTCCCTGTGAATTATAAACCAGAACTGGGGAAGTGAAGGCTTCAAAGCAAAACACTGTTCTTTAAATCTTCACAGTGAAAAATTCTCGTGCTCTCAAAATAGGCTACCACTTTGCTGAAATGTCATTGTGCTACTTGAATTTGACAGGCCGGATGCAAAAAATAGCTGGAAACAGCTATTGTTGCTTTTTGGAAGGAGTATACTCCAGGGAGTAGCCTACTTAAGGATTTGCCAGGAGCAATGAAACACTTCAGCACATTACTTAGCTCTCCAGTAGCTTTTGTACAATAGAAGCATTGCCCAGTCGGCTGCAATTTTCTTTTTGTTTTTTTACCTTGGGTTGTGCCACTGGCAAAGCCAATGTTTATTGCCCTTAAAGATGGTAGTGAACCACCTTCTTGATTGAGTAACTTGCCAGGCCATTTCGGGGAACGGGTAAGAGTCAATCACCTTGGTGTCGATCTCTTCATATGTAGGTCAGACCAGGTACAGTTGGCAGATTTCCTTCCCTAAAGGACATGAGTAAACCAAGTCTTATTGTCAATCCAGTAGTCTCTTGATTATTAATAATGAGACTCTAGTTTTATTATATATTTGAATTTAAATTCCACCAGCTGCCGTGATGGCATTTGAACCCATGTCTGTAGAGCATTAGTCCAGGACTGTAAATTACCGGCCCTGTAATATGGCTGCCATGCTGCCACCCTCCAAATACAGAACAAAGGATTCCTGTTTATTCTAGTTCAACTTGAGTTAGCTTGGAACTGTGCACCTGGTCTCAATGCAATTGGACAATAGTGAGGAGATGTCACCCTATTCCACAATCTCTCCCACAAAGTGCATTTGTCTGGCTGTCAGATCAGACTTGGTCATTATGCCTCTTTGAGGTTGCAAAGCTCAACAGCACTTAACTTGAATGAATTGCTGTAGGGTACCCAGCATGTGTGGAATTGTACAGAAGAAGAGAATGGTGTCTTGAGGAGAGGGTTGGGGGGGTTGGATTTGGTGGTAGTTGAATGGATGTAGGATCTAAACTATATTAAGAATTTTCTGCATTTGATGTTGGAGTTTTTAATTTAAGAATAGCCTTGCCTCAGGTCAAGATCATAACACATCTGTGCTTTCTGGTTTGCATTGTGCATATCAGTGATCAGGAAATTAATATTTAATTCCTGGAGTTGCCAGGACATTCCTGGAGGATTGGCATCCCTGATAAAGATAACAATAGTAAGCTTGTATATGTAGTTAGCTAGTGTAGGATGGCTTGTATGTGTAGAGTAAGCAGTACTGGATTGGTTGCATTATTTTACCCTTTACATCTTCCTCCAAAATAAGCATATTCTAGAAAATGCAGAGACAATGTTTGAAAGAGTAAAACGTCTAATACACATTGCCTCATTTAGCACTCTTAATAGCTTAAAAAATTGGGGCTATATGAAGCATGCTAAAAGACAATCACTTGCTTATTAGTAAACCTATCTTTAGGATGGGTTACATGCCTGACGTAATTTTCAGGTTGGCTGCCTTGAATCTAAGTGGCCCAAATATCCACTTACCTACTCTTACTAACACTAATTTTTACTAATTCTTACTAACTTAACAACTCTTATCAGCACTTACTAGCTTTTTAGTTAACTATTTCTTACTAATACCAATTCTTAATAACATGATTTATCAACAGTTGCTAACTTATTAACATTTACTGACTCACACACACACTATTAACTCTTTCTGCTTCCCTCTTAACGTAACTAGGACGAGGCCATTCAGTCCCCGAGCCTGCTCCATCATTTAATGTGATTGTGACTGATCTCATCCCAGCCTCAACTCCACAATCTCCAATCTGGAGCACCAGTTCCTAACGTTTCCATCTCTCTCTAGCTTGTTCCCTTCCACTTGGTGTCTTCCAACTTCCCAAGTCAACCTTCTCAGCAAGTGAGAGGGAGGGAGGGAGGGAGGGAGAAAGAGAAGACCAGGGAGCAGGAGGAGCTGGGCCAGGAAGCAACAAGCTAGTCAGCAGTTTGTATGTTTTTTTAAGAAGAAATAGACTCGGTATTTGCAGTGATTGTGCCAAAACAAAAATGGAGGTAACACCATTCTGAGATCTGCACTAATTAACAAACCACATGAAATAGCTCCACAGAGGCTGGCATCCCATCACCAAGTCACAGTACATGGACTCTGACCAGCTAGCTCAGAGCCAGTCTCTAAAATGAGCAGAATTCCTGAAACTCTTGTTTCTATCTGTCAGCCAGGGCTCCCTGATTGGCTCAGGTTAACAGGCCCAATCAAGGAACCCACACTTAATAAGATCCACCTTGCCAACCTCGCCCCTCCCACCGCACCCACCAATCACTACTTCACACTAAAATGCAAATGTGATAATAGAACAAATATCACCTGCACTGATTTTCTCTCTAGTCCTTTGACATCACCAGTTTTGGGCGTACTATCATTTATCTGAATGTTAATGTCATGTCTTAGGTAAGTGTCTCTCCTTCTCTATCCTCCATATTTCAGGTTCTTGTTGGTTCTAGCATGGGCGGTTGGCTTATGTTATTGGCTGCTCTTGCGAAGCCAGAGAATGTGGCCGGATTGGTTGGTATAGCAACAGCTGCTGATCACTTTGTAACTGTTTTCAACCAGCTTCCCTCTGAGGTAAGTGATTGAAAAAGCACCAATGTTTAAACAGTTGAATGAATAAAAAAAACAAGGGAGAGAGTACTGCACATCTGAAAAAAATTCAGGAAATGCTGAAAATAGCTAAAATCTGTAAGGAGACCAGACAGAGGAACCTTTAGAATTTGTGACAAAGGGCGTGTGCCCTTTTTGTTTGCAAAGACTCTATTTGTTGCAAATTCTGCTTTTATTGTGGATAATTATATACCTAGCTAAGTGGAGATTGTCAGTGTATTGGCCCCATTCATTCCCTTGACACCTTCTCCAAACATACAATTTCAATATTTAGTTCATATTATACACCCTTACATTTTTATGGTGGCTTGCTTATTTACCAGGACTCAGCTGTTTCTAAACATTGCAGCTTTGGCCTCTGTATATCAGAGCTCATTCAGAGGTTTTTCAGAGTTCTGAAGGTACTCACTCCAAAGGCATATTTTGTCTTTCAAGTGGCGTTTTAAGTATTTCCGCAGCGTTGATGCATTCCACCCGTGTGCCCTACCAAGCCCTGGTAATTTTGACAAAACTGCAGATGCTCAAAATCTGAAACAAAACATAAATTGCTGGAGAAACTTGGCAGCATCTGTGGAGAGAAAGAAGAGTTGATGTTTTGACCCTTCTTCTGAAGAGTTTCTGCTGAGCTTTCTGCAGCAATTTCTGTTCTCAGGTTTGTTATAAATGGATGAGATTTCTGTCTCTGCTCACTGTGTGTGCCTAATCTGTGTCTTTCCCTCTCTCTTTCCTTACATTGTCAGGCCAGAGAAGATGCTGTGAGGACAGGCAAATACAATATGCCGTCCAAGTACAGTGCCAGTGGCTTCTACAGCATGAAATATAACTTTATAAAGGAGTCAGAGCAGCACTCTCTGCTACAAAACCGCATCAACATCTCATGCCCAGTGCGGCTTATGCATGGCATGAAGGATGAAGTGGTACCCTGGCAGGTTTCCATCAAAGTGGCAGAACAACTCATCAGTGATGATGTGGACATCATCCTCCGAAAAAATGGAGATCACCGCTTGTCACAGGATGAAGATATCAAGCTCCTGGTTACTGTCGTTGCTGACCTACTGCAAAAGTTAACCAAAAAAGATCTGGATTGAAAGGAACACAGTTGTGTTGGAATTCATTGTCAGTTAATACTAATCAAAAAGGTTAAGCAGGGTCTTCACCTGTGTTTTTGTGTTTTGCTGTCATAAATCAAGGGCTTAGATAACTGCAGCTGTTGAACTAGAACGTACTTCATATTCGGAGAAATGTGGTTAGACATAATCTCTGCAGCAAATAAAAGTTTTGTATACCTGCCAAAGACATTACAATGTCTTGCTCCTGAATTATTTCACCAGTGGAAAGGCAACTTCAAACAGTTAGAAAGGATGTGGAATATATACAGGGCTCTTAAAATTCCTTGTATAAGTGCAAAATACTCTGGATGTTAGAAATCTAAGTACTTTCAAGTGTCATATTTAACGTTTTGAGTCTGCTGTGACTTCAGACTTCTTCAGAAGAGTCACACTGGACTTGAAATGTGAACTTTGCTTTTCTCTTTCCACAGATGCTGCCAGACCAGCTGAGTCTGTCCAGTACTCTCTGCATTAGAATTCCTTCCTGATTTGCTTTAGAACTGACCTGAGGGGAAAAGCACACCCCAAGTGTAAAACATTACTGCAGTGACATTTCAAAGTATTTAATTGGCTGCCAAGTGCTTTGAGATGACCTGAGGTTCAAAAGGTGCTACACAATCCTTTCTGAATCAGCTTTGAGTTGAAATCTCTACAAGTGTGAGGGAGCTGATTCCAGACAGGGTAGTAGTTGGATGTGACACTTTGCAGCTAATTTTTGGAATCACCTCCCAAGGAAGACTTGATGGGAGCTTAATGTGGTTGGGGTACTAGCATGACAGGAAGTGAAAATAAATCCAAATGTGTTCTTTGTTACAGCTTGATGTGAACCACCATGTTAATCTCTGACATTGTAATTTTCTCTGGCCCTTTCAATCACTTTATCTTGACTCCCTCTTGACAGGAACTAGCAGTTTTGTTTTTAGCCTGTGAGACAAGTGAAATATTTTGCATGAGGAATGGTGAGCCCTTCTGTATTTTTTCATTTGGAATAGCTAGGCATCTTGAGATCTAGCACCATTCTCCATTGAAACAACACCCACCCCCACCCCTCTCAGAACTCCCTGTCAAAAATCTAATCTGCTGGATGCATGTCATGACCTCTACAGATTCCTATTGAATAAGAATAAGGAGGGATTGGCCCTGGAAAGTGATGCAATCTACCTCACTAGATTATCGCCCCCTGCTGGCCTAGGTTAAAAATGGCACCCATCATATGGAGAAACAACTGTATGCAAAGTTAAAATTAATTAAAAGCCTCCTGGCGTGTTCAATAAAAATATTTGCAATATTACTGCAGGGGTGAATTTTTTTGTGCCAACAGTTTGGCCGAGTACTAGCAGTGATGGTCACTGCGTAGCGGCCAGGGATAGAGAACCTGGCTGATGCTCCTTCCCATGTAAGGGAGATGGTGGGTTGGTCAATTATCTTTGATCAGCTACCAGCACATCACAGCTCTGCAATAGCAGCTCCAGAATCTGGTCCATGTTGTCAGCTACCAAACTGCATGGAACACGGTGTACTCAGCCCATGGAGACAGATTCAGTTTAATAAATCATCTATCTAGGGTTTCATAAAGAATATCCCACCAACACCTATCCCTCTACCCTATCCCTGTAACCTTACATTTCCCATGCCTAATCCACCTAGTCTACACATCCCTGGCAATTTAGCATGGCCAATCCACCTAACCTGCACATCTTTGGACAGTGGGAGGAAACCAGAGAACCCAGCAGGAACCCACAGACACAGGGAGAACATGCAAACTCCAAACAGACAATTGCCCAAGGGTGGTCCCTAGCTCTGTGAGGCAGCAATGCTAGCTACAGAGCCACTGTGCTGTCCCAATGTAGCCACTGACATTTTTACTGATTAGACAGAGAGTGGATAAATAGCTGATGAAAAACATTTGCAGAGGTATTTCACAGAGACCAATTGGTTCTGGGGAAATTTATTGCCACTTCGTACAATGATTGCAAACAAAATGTGACATGTAGCAAATTCCTGGTAAAATCATTGCAAAATTGCAAGTATTTCATCTGCAAAGCTGTTTCAGTCCGTATGGAAACAAACAAATGCTGTAGTTCACAGCGGGTGAGACAGCTTCTGTGGAGAAAGTAAACACCTGTTTTGAGTCTAGATGACTCTTCTAAACTTGAAACATTGGCTTGTTCTCTCTTGATAGATACTGTTTGATGCACAGTGATCTCCAGCATTTATTATTTTCAGTACAGATTCCAGCATCTGCAGTAATTTGCTCCTACCTGTTTCAGTCTGTGTGTTGTTTCCATGGGAATATGTAGAGGATTGTAAGCCAGTTCTTTCTCAGGGTGTTCTCCCAATCCCTTGCGGCATCTTCAGCAGACGGGTAGCAGTCTGCTCTGGAGAAATGTCTTAATGGAGTTTTCAATCAAAGTTACAAAGACTGGGGATGCATATGCAAGACTACTTTTGATTTTATAGGACCTTGGCTCTGAACGAACTTAGTCCTGTTCCCCATGCCAATTAATATTTTACATTTGGAAAGATTGATAATAGTTTTCCCTTTTAAAAGCTATTGCCAGATTGTTAATGAGCATTCAGTAGTGGATCTCCACTGATATTCCCAGGGTGTTACAGCAGGAAGTCTTGCTCTGATGATTCCTTAGATAATAATTTGTTTTGATTTATGGGTGGGGCTGGCAAGGCCAGAATTTGTCGGCTATTCTTAATTGCCCTGCACTGAGTAGTTTGCATGGCCATTTGAGGGCAGTTAAGGGTCACATGTAGGCCAGACCAAGTAAGGACAGCAGATTTCCTTTTCTAATGGGCATAAGTGAATGAGGTAGGTTTTAATAATGATAGTTTCCATGGTTACTATTGACAACATTAGCTTCCAATTTCACATACATTAATATAATTTAAAATCCAGCAGTTACCATGGTGGTTTCTGAAATTGTGTGCCCAGAACCTGGGCCTTTTTTAGTAATTCAGTATCTTTACTACAACTACATCTCCACCATTCCACTTAGGCCAGAGCCACTGACACTTCTTTCCAGCTTTTCCTTCAAGGTCAAATGTCCAGTGAAGAGTTACTTCCTGGATTCACACATGAAGAATAAATATGAGACAAGACCTGGACAGCAACTACTGCACATGGAACTGCAACTGGAAGAGGAGTTATAAAGCTGGAAATTTTAAAAACATAGAGTCAAAGTGGATTTTGGATTTTATTATATCTGAACAGTTTTGTGTTACAACAAAATCGAAGCTGTACAGTAAGTAGTAAAATTAAATAACAGTATTGGAACAGACAATTTCTCATAAAGGCCGCAAAACTGTGAACTACTGCTACATTAACAAAGGCAGGATCGTCATTCTTCGCGCGTTTTGTAAACATAAAGTGAACCCTTCAACGCTTTTGCCTTCACAGGACTTTAAACAAAACTTATGTTAAGGACAAAGGTTAAAGACAGTCCTGGTCTTTGGATGATGTGTATACATCAGATTGCAGTCAGTTTGTGCAACTGAAGACTGAACTCCAACAAACTCCTTTTGTTCAGAGCTTGTGGCAAATTGAAAACTGTTCAGAAAAGTTCTCAGACGACTGAATGAGGAGTAACTAAATGATAGCACAAACCAGCTTAAATCTGCACCTTTGTCATCACATCCCAATAGTAGAGTTACCCACCTCCACCATGAATGAACCAAGTCAGAAGTCACAGGACAACAAGTTATAGTGCAACAGGTTTACTGAAAATCACAAGCTTTCAGAGCACTACTCCTTCGTCAGGAGAAGGAGCAGCGCTCCAAAAGCTTCTGGGTGGCTCAATGGTTAGCACTGCTGCCTTACTGTGCCAGGGACCCAGGTTTGATTCCAGCCTTGGGCGACTGTCTGTATGGAGTTTGCAAGTTCTCCCTGCGTCTGCGCGGGGTTTCTGCCGAGTGCTCTGGTTTCCTCCCACAGTCCAAGGATGTGCACGGTAGATAGATTGGCTGTGCTAAATTACCTCAAGTATTCAGGGATGTGTAGGTTAAGGAGCATTAGCCATGGGAAATACAGGGATAGGCTAGGGGGATGGGTCTGGGTGGGATGCTCTTCAGAGGGTTGGTGTGGACTTGCTGGGCCGAATGGCCTGTTTCCACACTGTGGGGATTCTATTATGAATCTGATGTCATGTGACTTCTGACTTTGTCCACCCCAGTCCAACACCAGCACCTCCACATCATGAATGAACCACGGATTCCCTGATATAACAGACAACATTAGCAAAAATCCATAAATTGATTCTAGAATTCTCTAAAAACTTTTTTGTTTTGTACCTTAATCTGGATGGATTAATTTGACTCCCACAGAAAGACATTGGATATGAAGTACGGAGGTGCAGCTCTGGACATACAATTCTTTGACCTTACTGATGTGTACTGACTTCCAGCAACCGTATCAAGGCTGGATTTAACATCAAACATTTGTTACAGATAAAAATTCAGCCACAGTTCTTTATGTTCAACAGCAGCACCAATCTTCTTAAACTAATTACATTGGTAAGAGTGGAATTGATGTTTGTTGTCAACTCAAAGGTTTAAAAAACAATTAGGCCACTAAGATACTAACAATCTTCACCTTCTGGGTGTCCCTTTTGGTGATATCTGCAAAGAGTTGAGGAGAGGATAAATGGTTTTAACTTTTGTGAAGAAACATTCATTGGATTGGAATATTTGGCCTTGGCTCTTAGATGTTACATTAAGATTGAAAAGCTACAATTTTTTTTCTTTTGCGGTTGGGATGTGGTGTAATTACACTACCACACTCACACTGATGTAGACCAGTGCTTTCCAAACCTTTTCCCGCTATGACCCCATTTTAATTCCTGATTTTCTGTAATCCAGAAGGTAAACCTCGCTTGACTAAAACACCCAGACATTACTTTGCAGCAGCAATCAGACCTCAAATGATCTGCCCATTAGGCCATACACACTCTAATTAGAAAGTACACAAGGAGTCCTGCAGCTGTTAGTATTCTGCCAGTTGATGCCTCAAGACACCCAAAATTCCACAGAATACAGAACAATACGGCACAGGAACAGGCTCTTTGGCCCACCATGTCTGTGCTAACCATGATGCCATTCTCAACCAATCCCATCATGCTGGATGTCCCTGGAGAGGGGAAGAACAGTGTTTAACAGTGTGCCCGAGGCCTTGTGTGGCCAGT